GATTTCAATATTCTTAGGCAAATCACTGTAGCAACGTCTATTTCAGGGGCATGGTGGCTATAAATTCACCTTGAGGCCTCACAAATAATCCCATCATTCTCATTTTTCAGCAATAATAAAATTCCCAAGCTCTTTAATTTGCTGTCCCGACATCAAGGATGATATCAGAAGAGTGCTGGCAGAATTATGAAGTTTATTGCGACTGCAATCTCCGAACACCGATGAAAGTGTGCAAGAATGGTGAGAATGTATGATGGGGTGAAGAACCAAAGCTCAGAGAACCAAAGCCCACTAATCAACTATATACCAAAACCCCACTGACAAATAGATGCCAAGCAGTTGCGAATGAAACCCCACTAACAAATAATTCTAATAAAATCAGTAATAAACTATATACCAAATGAAACAACCACCGAACAATACCCTTGTTTCAATAATTAAACATATACCAAATTCAATAATTCCACTACCAATGTTAATTTAATCAGAGCAAGCACAATTAAATAATCACATTAAAAGGGTTAAATTGATTTATACATGCAGATGCCAAGCTGTTGCGAAGGGAATCATTCAGAAATTGATGTCATTACCAACAAACCCCACCGGACGGAACAACCAGCAAACCGAAGAACCCAACAACAATATCAAAGATCAGTGGGAGAAGAACAGCCAGCAAACCCATAAATTGATGTCGTTACCAACAAACCCCACCAACCAAGAACAATATCGAAGAACAGCGGATCGCGGGAGAAGCCGAGCCCAAAATCTAGGGCAAATCCACAAACCGAAGAACCCAACAACAATATCAAAGATCAGCGGGAGAAGAACAACCATCAAACCCAGAAATTGATGTCGTTACCAACAAACCCAACCAACCAAGAACAATATCGAAGAACAGCGGATCGCGGGAGAAGCCGAGCCCAAAATCTAGGGCAAATCCACAAACCGAAACCCAAATAATATCGAAGAACAACGGGAGAGGAGGCGCGAAGAAACTTGGGAGAGGCGGGAGAAGAAATGCCCAATTGCGATTCCAGAGCTAGGGTTCGAAATCGAGAGGATTAGGAATTAGAAAACGAAAACCCCAGAACGATTCGAGAGGATTAGGAATTAGAAAACGAAAACCCCAGAACGATGTCAGAATTCTCGCCCAAATCCTCTCCTCCCCTGATTTGGGTTTCTTGAAAAAACGTAAACTGTAGCAACTTTAAGGATTTCATAATCCATGAATTTTTTCCCAGCCAAACTCTAGATTAGGATCCACAAAGATTTCATAAATTACACTTTTGCCACTGTCAGACCCCAAATACTAATCCTTTTCTATAAAAGGGTGAAACAAACAGCCCCTTAAGTACCCTTTTATTTATCTAATGTTGCATATAATATCCTCCTTTATAAAACTATTCACTTAAATACAAAATTCTTAAATACAAAGCCCTTAAACGATTCACGTAGATATTAGTTAAAATATGCATGAAAATTTTCCTCTGATTACCTCGTGGACATTTAGGTCAATTATTCAAGTTTTCCTCGTTTACAATAATAACCTTTGGATAGGTGAAACAAACAGGGAGGGGTCATTTATGTCATTTAACGAGAAATTCGTAACACCTGTTGAATTTTTTGAACGGAAGAAACTTTAGGACACGAATAATTTTACAAGCAAGGATGTTTATATGTAATACTAAATAAAAAAATTTGATGAAGTTCACGCGTATAAACTAGAGGAATTCGCTTTGTTCGGCGTATGAACTGGAGGATTTTAATGGTGGAGATTGACTCCCTACTTATTCATTGGTGTAATTTGGAGGATAATGAGATAATTTTTGGAATATCACTTTTTTGTGTTATTCATTGGGGTAATTGGAATTGGAGTCAACTTTGTGGTGTTATTGGTTTGTTGGGGGTAATTGGGGGATAAATACTCCATTTTTCCCTAAATTACACCAACTATATAAAGTTCCCCTCCACACCTTCCTCATAATTACCCCAAATTTACCCCATCCTCCATATTGGAACAATATTGTTCCACTTTGAAGACAATTGAGATAATTTTAAAATATTTTTGTATTACTTAACTAATACATGCTAATTAAATTATAAATATATGATATGATATATAAAATATAACATATATTAATATTTTAATAACATAATTTAATAACATATATTAATAATATTATATAATAGTAATTATAGTATAACGTATTTATTATAATATTATATAATATTTTAATAACATATATTAATAATATTATGTAATATATTATTATATAATATTAATTAGTAATTATAGTATAACGTATTTATTATAATATCATATAATATTTTAATAACATATATTAATAGTATTATGTAATATATTATTATATAATATTAATTAGTAATTATAGTATAACGTATTTATTATAATATTATATAATATTTTAATAACATATATTATTATATAATATATTATTATATAATTAATTTATAAAATATTATTATAGTTATTATATATAGGGGGTTCGAGCGTTAACTTCCGACGAGCTCTTTTGTCATACTTGGCTTCTTCAACCGGCCCCAACGCCCGTTTTCCAGTGGCACTCTTACTCCGAGTCTGAACTCTTGAAGGTTCTACCTCGCGAGTATCCGGCATCCTGACCTCTTCCTGAATTGGCTCTGGTGATTGTTGCCGTTCGTCCTCTAGAATCGACTTCTCATATGATAAATATTCGCTAGCACCACGGGCGCGGAACCTTTTGGCACTCTTCTTTGAAGCATACCATTTGCGGATGGCCTTCAAACAAGAAGTATTCATATTGTAAGCTGAAATCTGAGAAGCGGCCTGGTACCAGGTACAGAAGCTCAGAGAGGTACGTGCATTGGGCATCTTATGTGGTAGCCAGAATTTTGCTCCGGTACAACCAGCCACCGAGTAGTACCAAGCTCGTGCTCCTTCATACACATTACCTATGTACGTAAGAGTAGGGTTTGGGTTCCCAACATAGAGCTGATCATAGCCAAATTGCCGAGAAAAGCGATAAGGCTGATAAGGTTCAATAAAGCATTTCCTCCCTTGTCGAAAAATAAGATAGCCCGGACGAATGTTTATGAGCCACCAAAAAGCGCCCTTGCTAAGCATGGTGAAAGAATTCGGCCCCGGAGAGTCTTGATGAAGTTCTCCATACGCGCCACCCTCGAAGGCGGGAAACTTGACAGCAATCTTGTAATTATAATCCCGTCTCAAAATTTCACGGAATTTAACTTGGTACCAACCAGCCCAGTCAGAAGTTTCTAATTGCTGAACAAGAGGGGTTGAGGTGTCATTTGATTCAGGAGTCGTCATTATTGGAGGGCAGTGCAGCACAAACCAAGATACCAAGTAAATATACGGCATCGGCACCCGAGGGGTTGGGGTTTGAATGACGGTCGTCCCGTCAGAATCCACTTTCTTGACGGCAATGAACTCAGAAGATAGTTCCCGCAAGCCACTTTGTAAACAGCACACCATGGCTGAAAGAAGATTCAAAGGTCGTCCATAAGCCAGTAGAACAGCAGGGTATAAAACTTCTACTGTAATAGTTGTAAGTATAGTATAATATATTATATTTTAATATAAAGTAAAATAATATTTATATTATAATAATATACTAAACCAATTGGATAAGTTAATTTAGAAGTAATTAATAGATAAAATTATATTTTAATAAGGTGCCACATCATCAATTATCCCACATGAATTGTCAAATCAAATGCTGAAATTATCCCATTATCCTACTTTATCCCACTTTACCCCACTCAAAATATCCCAAAGGGATAAAATTGTTCCATTGGAATACTTTTCCCCCTTGGCCCCAATTTGTCCTAACCAATACCCCCCCTAAGGGTTGTCTCCTTGGTGACCTCTCATTCACCTTTTGCTACCATGACTCCTATTGCAGATGAAGTTCACGCTTGTTTGTCTGTTATTGGCTGCTCTAAAAGTTCTTATGTAAAGCACAATTGTAATGATGTTGCTTATGTCCTAGCTAAGACGGTTAACTGTTTGTCCTCTTGTTTTGGTTTGTTTCTGTCCCTCTGTTTTTAAGACAAAGTGTTGTTGATGACTTGACTGGTTAGGTTATCCTATCTGACTTTTTAAAGAATAAAAAAAATTAAAAAAGTTGATATTTAAATGTAAATGCTAAATAGTAAATATGTTGTTTTCCATATAATACGTAATTCTCCAAAAGATTTGCATGTACGGGAGAAAAATGTTAATGTCAATCAAGTCCCACAATGATTTCAGTGACATCCCTTTAAGCCAAAAAAGAAGTTGCAGGGCTCAATGACTCAATCCTAATTTTTTTATACTTTAAAAAAAAGGGACTCAATCCTAATGGAAGCATGAAGAAAGTGTCAAAACCAGTTTTAGGCAACGCGTGCAAGTTTGCTGTAATAGACGTCGCCCCAAACGTGATCAGTAATTAAATCCCAACTTGAATTCCATAATTTTTTTTTAAAAACCTTAAATAAATAAACAAAATTCCCCACTTGAATTAAACACGAAACTATTCTCTAACCCTATTCTAATTTTCCATATAGCGACTAGGGCGGGTGCGTATGTCAAATGTTGATTGCTGGATTATGGTTAGCATGATGTGACTTAATTAGATCCTAGGAAAAAGAAGCTAATAAAGTCAATTTATATAACAAGGATCAACTTGAGTCTAATCTCAACTTTAAACTTACATTAAACTAAACTAAGTCAAGTAAATTGATTGAGCCTTGGTTCAAAGTAATGATGAGCTCTCAACGAATTAGATTTGGCAAGACAATCCTAGATGAACACTATAGCTTATTGATAGAAAAAATATTTGTCATCATTAAGGATTAGATTTTACTCTTGAGATTGGGTGAAATTTTTGAATTTGGGATTGAAAATGAATGGCTAGTTGCCACCACACAAATAAAAGTCTAGTATTTTAACACTACAAAAATATTAAATTAAAATTTTTCCTATTACAGTTACACTTCATCATTATATTTGGCAAACAAACCACAGAAATATCTCCTCCTCTCTCTTTCCCCTCACACTCCTCTCTCCCTTCTGTTTTCCCTTGTGCTCTCCTATTTCCCTTACTTATCCTCAGTAGAGATCCATTGGTATGAGTTAGTTTTTTCTTCTCAAGTTTGATCTGGGTCTTCTCCATCCCAACAAAATCTCAATCAAAATCTCTCTTTTTTGTTGCCCAACCTATCAAAATCCAATCTTTTGAAGACCCTTTTAGCTATTTCCTTTGAAGCTTGTTAGATTTCGATGCATGGGTTATAAGGTGAAGTTTCAATGGAAGATGGTTTCTTATGAGGTTAGATTCAGTCCCTGCTTCTTATAATCTTATTTATCTTGTAATCATCTTTGTTCTTTCTTTTTTCGATGCAATAATATGATTTTTTGTTTTTATCTTTCTAAGAGTCTCATATGAAAAAATTTCTGGTTGACTTAGCATGTTTATTGAGATTTGATTAGATTTCTTCTGATTTTTAAGTTAAATCAGTTTGCATGTATCTTTATCTGCTTCTAGTTTTGTATTCTCCTCCACTTGATTTGTTCCCAATGTTACTTTTTCCTTCTCAAGGTTGGAAGATGATGTCTTTGGCTATTGTGGTTATTGTTTGATGCTGAGGATGATGGTCACCTTGATTTGTTTCTAATATTTTTTTTTGATGCATATTGTCATTGTCCTTCAAAAGATTCATTTTGGGGATTGGCGTCTCAAGATTTTTATCATTTTAGTAGATTTTTTGATAGAATGAATATTTATTTGAGTTGTGTAGAATTAGTTTTTCTCCTTTACAGTTTTAAAGAGCTTGTTATTTGATCATGTTGCAAATATATCATTTTGGAAAATCATACTTTTGTGATTGTAGCTAATAAGAACTGAAAATGTTCTCTAGTCTAAGAGACTAAATTGATGGGATTTGTTGTATTTAAATACGTTCCTTTTGCTCTAATGTTTTTTAGATCTGACCTTCACCTTTCATGCTAAACTAAATATTGCTCTGCATTTATAATAGATACTGCTGTCCATAGATTGTGCATGCACATGACTTTGTTATGTTATTGAACTATAATCTGATATCTGTACTTAAAATTGATTTTTCACCTGTTCCCTTCCATTTGCAGACTGCATAATAGTTTCTTGATCCGTTTCCAATTGGGTTTTTTGATTTAATGGGTAGAGGAAGAGGGAAAGGGAAGAAATTGACAGGAGCCACAACTCATGAAGATCCCGGGAGTGGCAATGAAGAACCATTACCTCCATATAAGAGAAGGGGAAGACCTCAGAAACCTCTGAAGGATGATATAGATGAAGAAGAGGTTGCAAAGATTGAAGAAGAGGAAGTTAATCCTAAACTCGTTTCACCTGTTAAAGAAACAAAAGGGGTGCCTACTGTTGAGAATGGTAAAAGGAGAAAGAGGCAACCTGTAGTAAAAGAAAATTCTGATTCAATTCATGAGGAAAATGGCACCGGGTTAAGTACTACGACAGAGGAATCGATGAAGAAGAATGGTTTTAGGCAAAATGGGAGTCGCAGGAAGAACAAGCCTCGGAGAGCAGCTGAAGCTGGAGTTGAGTTCAAATGAGATTTGGTTTATAGTCCTGATCTTCGATGTGCCCTCAATGGTTTTATCTTTTCCTTCCTGATTTTGTCTTTAGTTTTCTTTTGTTCTCATTTTGATGCTAGAAACTGGCTATAAGGTATTAGGTATTTCCTTTAGGTCTATTGTATCTTCTATCCTCTGCAGTATTATAAACATAAGCGCATCTATCATTGTTCACTTGCTTCTCACTGGCTGCTACCATTTTACTATAATTGGAACTTGGTAACTGGTATAGATTTTTGATTTAATTGAAGATGAATGCTTTATTAGCATTTTGTATCTTTCAATTTCTGAGGTGTTGATTGTGAATCTAGTGAATATTTTTGAACTATATCTACCAAGCAAATATTATTTGCATGTTTCATGGTGATGTCAACTCCTAAAAGTATGTTTATTCTTGGTCTTTGGCTGCTTATATATCTAAGAAATGCATTTTCTTGCTTTATATGGTTGCTATTCTAATTTCTGACATTAGGTCTCCCTTGTTAACTGTAAATTTTCTTTTTCTGTAGATCTATAGTCTTAACTGTCAATGCCAATGGGCACGATGCATTTGCTTTGGCGGTTTAGTACTGTTCACTTGATTTTTCTTATTTTCTTTTCATTGGCTAAAAGCAGTTTACTATAATTTTGGCACCTGTTATAACTTTTCCTTTTATTTGAAGCTATATACTTAATTGATACTTTGTATCTTATAATTCCATGGGTTTAATTACATAATTAATGGACAATTTTGATTATTTCTCTGTCCAGAAATCTATTTGCATGCTTCATGATGATATCATTCTTACTGCTAGATGTAGGTTATCTCTTGCTCTTTTACTGTATAAATCCCAGAAATGCATTTTTCTTGCTTTATATGATGCTTATATGATGCTATTCTGATCACTGACATTATGTCTTTCTTTTTAAAATTTCTAATTTTTCATATTATGTCAATCTGTGCTTTATGCTTCTGTACTTCTGTCATGCTTTTGCTTTCACTTTCTCATGTGGGTGATATGCAACTTTATGTTCTGTGGATCAATATTCCCGTCCATTTTTTTTTCGGTGCTCCTTTTTCTAACTTGGTTGGCTAAACAACCAAGTCTTTGATGGGTTTTGAGTTAGGATTTTGCTTGATTTTTTTCAGTATTTTTCTTCTAAAAAGTGTTTGATTGGATTTTGTTTGCTTTACGATCTCAGGCTGCTACATGTCTGGTTCCATTCTGCGTTAAACTGTACTCATTTCTTTCATCTGGCTGTGTCTACTTTATAACTTCCCTGTTCAAAGTCTTTTTAGATGATAGTTAGACCTCATGTAGCTTAATCTAAGTTCTTTGCCTTATATATCGATGTTGGTTATGAACGTCAATCCAGGACCTAAAGTTTACAATCTGATTAAGACCTTTGATTCGGATATAAATAGATTTATTTTAGTATATGAATAACACTGTCGGAGTGAGATACTAACCTATAATGCCCTTTCTTTTGTGTTTGTGGACATTTCTCTTGTACTACGAGGAGTGTACAAAACATGGAGTGCTATTGAGTTGGTTTCTTTAAGTGGAAGGTTAAAGATCCTATGTTGATTATTAAATGTGAATTAAAGATGCTATTGAAGGGTTGCTAAATGGTCTTGAGTTTTGAGTTTAAAAGAGCCTTTCCTGTTAAAATGAGGTCAGTTATTTAGTACTTTCTCTAGATCCACGTTGCTATTGTGATGCCGTTGACGGTCTTCTGTGTCGGCTTCTATTCTTGATGACAAACATAAATATCACATTTTTCTTTGATTGCTACCAAGCTTTGAAACACAAACACTTCAAATGCGAAGCTATCTTGTGTCAGACATTGTATAGGTAGTTGACACTGAAATTCTCATGTAGAGAGATCCTTGGTTGAATATAAACACTATTCTTTTTTAATTTCTTTCTATTGAATGCAAGCCCTTTTCTTTCTTAATCTCATTCTATCGAAGCCTATCATTATGAACGGTAGTGTTTATTTCAAACATGTTTTGTTGATAGGCTATTGCTTATGATGGAAATTATATCATGTAAATGTTGGCCTCTGTAGTAGATCTGCTGACGTTGGTGCTTCAATTCAAAAAGCCATTTGTTTGAACTTTCCTGGCCATTTGAACTATAACTATAATAGCTGAGAGTCAATCTCCTTAGTGCTCCACATCTATAATGGTCTTTCCAGGGTCTGCCTTGCTATTTGATGCTCTGACCTGAATCAACTATTATTTTCTATTTCTATTGGAGAATATTTCCTTATATGTTGTAAATGGCCAAGTGAGAGTACATAATGCTCACTCACTGAATTTCTGTTATTTCTTCTTTGATATCTCATCTAGTCAAGAAAAGATGGCATTTTTTGATCTCTATCTGTGAAATAGCTATTACCTGTAGAGTTCGTGGCATGTTTATTTTCAATATTAATAATGGTGCTTTTGGTGGCATGTTTATTTTCAATATTAATAATGGTGCTTACTGAAGTATTTAGGGACAATTGATCTTATAGGAATTCCTGTGGTGCATTGATTTCATGATCTATTTAAAGCTGAAACCTCTACACATGTACATATGTGCAACTTCAACTTACCCTTTTCTTTTCTTTCTTTTTTAGATCCCCCC